CGTGTGGCCCACATCTCCAGTCAATGCTTTGTATTGAGTGTTCCATAGCAACTACAGAATTATTTTTGTATGTTCATTGTAGGTTTGTTCTGATTTATGCTGTTGATGTGGTTAAATTGCCATGCATCTTTTGCAAAATCTGGTGCAGCTCTGCATAGAAACCAGTCATCTTCCAGGTTTTATCGTCAAAGCTTAATTGAACAAGCTGAAGTTAGAAGCGGATTGGTTACCATACACAATTGCTCCATATTTGGAGTGTTCCAGTTTTAGAAACCCCCCCCCCCCAATGTTTTAGCAGATCTGCTTTTTCAGAGTGCTTTTCCAAAAAGTCTACACACCACTGTTAAAATGTCAGGTTTCTGTGATGTAAAAAATAAGACAAAAATAAATAATTTCAGAACTTTTTCCACCTTTAATGTAACCTATAAACGGTACAACTCAGTTCAACAACAAACTGAACTCTTTTATGTGGAGGGAAGTAAAAATACAAAACCAAAATAATATGGTTGAATAAGTGTTCACACCCTTAAGCTAATACTTTGTTGAAGCACCTTTTGATTTTACTACAGCACTCAGCCTTTTTGGGTATGAGTCTATCAGCATGGCACATCTTGACTTGGCAATGTTTGCCCAATCTTCTTTGTAAAAACACTCCAAATCTGTCAGATTGCGAGGCCATCTCCTGTGCACAACCCTCTGCAGATCACCCCACAGATTTTTGATCGGATTCAGGTCTGGGCCCTGGTTGGGCCATTCCAAAACATTAATCTTTTTTTGGTGAAGCCATCCCTTTGTTGATTTGGATGTATGCTTTGGGTCGTCATGCTGAAAAGTGAAGTTCCTCTTCATGTTCAGCTTTCTAGCAGAAACCTGAAGGTTTTGTGCCAATATTGACTGCTATTTGGAACTGTTCATAATTCCCTCTACCTTGACTGAGGCCCTAGTTCCAGCTGAAGCAAAACAGCTCCAACGCATGATGCTGCCATCACCATGCTTCACTGTGGGTATGGTGTTCTTTTGGTGATGTGCAGTGTTGTTTTGGCACCAAACATATCTTTTGGATTTATGGCCAAAAAGCTCAACCTTGGTTTCGTCAGACCATAACACATTTTCCCACATGCTTTTGGGAAACTTCAGATGTGCATTTGCAAAATTTAGCTGGGCTTAGATGTTTTTCTTCGTAAGAAAAGGCTTCCATCTTGCACCTCTACCCCATAGCCCAGACATATGAAGAATATGGGAGATTGTTGTCACATGTACCACACAGCCAGTACTTGCCAGATATTCCTGCAGCTTCTTTAATGTTGCTGTAGGCCTCTTAGCAGCCTCCCAGACCAGTTTTCTTGTCTTTTCATCAATTTTGGAGGGACGTCCAGTTCTTGGTAATGTCACTGTTGAGCCATATTTTCTTCACTTGATGACGACTGTTTTTACTGTGTTCCATGGTATACCCAATGCCTTGGAAATTCTTTTGTACCCTTCACTTAACTGATACCTTCACCTTATAACAATGAGATCCCTCTGATGCTTTGGAAGCTCTTTGCGGTCCATGGATTTTGCTGTAGGATGCGACTAAGAAAATGTCAGGAAAGACCTACTAGAACAGCTGAACTTTATTTGGGGTTAATCAGAGGCACTTTAAATGATGGCAGGTGTGTACTGACTCCTATTTAACATGATTTTGAATGTGATTTCTTAATTTTGAACACCGCTACATCCCTAGTTATAAGAGGGTGTGCACACTTATGCATCCACATTATTTTAGTTTTTTATGTTTACCCCCCCCCCCCCCCCAAATGATTTCAGTTTGTTTTTCAATTGAGTTGAACAATTTATAGGCCACATTAAAGGTGGAAAAAGTTCTGAAACCTGACATTTTAACAGAGGTGTGTAGACTGTTTATATCCACTGTACATTAAGATATGTAGTAAAAAGCTGACAGCATAAAACATACCTTTGCATACATACAGTGCAGCTCTGCCTGGAGCCCTCCCAAAGCAGTTTTGCAAATGGAGACTTTTCTAGGTTGATAGTCACATATCCCAAATGTGTCCCCCTGTACTCAAAAGGATAATACACTGACCTCATGATAGGCAACTTCACTGCCGGGCATTGTTTTCTGAGTTGTGTGCAGGCAGCAAGGCTACGATCGGCCATAGATGGATCGAATACAGCAGGCCCTGCACGAGATATGATCCCATGCATGGTCGGGTTGGTTGATACATCAATCGGCTTTAGTGCAACTAAACCTGTCAGATTTTTTTGCATGGGATTACTGCCAGTGGCTACAACCACCAGATGTAATCATTGTGTTCTGCTGTTTGGGAAGGCTCCCTCCTGGCAGAACACAATAGTGCTGCGGGAACGATTCTCCCATCAACACTGACTGTGTTGATGGGGAATCAAGCAACTTTTATTTCCTGGAACTCATTATGATTTATCAATTAAATCAGACTCTCTCAGCTGACACTTTGTCACGTTGTAGCTAGGTTTTATACCCCATCATTGGAGAACTGGGACATAATTTCATCAGATATGGCCAGATATAAAGCAAGGATTGGTAACAAGGATCTGTGTTTAGATTTTCTGCTTTTTTTTTTTTTTTTTTGTTTTTTTTTTTTTTATGCTTGGAAATATGTATATCATCTTGTAAAAATTTGAATACTACTTGAAATTATGTATACAAGTGAAATTTTGTTGCTGGTAATTGTTCTAAAAATAATATACATTATATTAATATTTTACTACAGCAATTTCCAGAAAAGAGAAGAGGCATTGCTAGCTGTGGTTAATGACCTTAAAGGTGATTTGGAGAAAATTAAAAGGGAAAATGAACAATTGAAGGTAAGGGTAAGGATATATAAAATTTTACCTAGAATACCATTAAAATAGGCAATACACTTTTGGCTGCTTTTACTCTTTTGGTATGGAATAATCTAGCTACTGTGGGAAAGAACAGGGCTTTTGCAAAAGGCCCAGGGGGACAATGCCTGTGGCATCAATGTAAAATGGGGGCAGATTCAAGGCATAAAAATGTCCTATATGTTGACCTATCTCTCTCTTGAATTTCTTCACGTATAAAAGATGATCAGTACACCTCATGCAAGATTCTGCTTTTTATCCCTCTGACCTCTCACTTAACACTCTTAGTGTTCACATTTTACCTGTGTGTTATTAGGCCAGCAATTCCAGTTCAACAGCTCCTTTGTTACCATTATTCCAAAGAGATTAGTATGGGAAAAACCTCACTGATCATGATTGTTCAAACACCAGAAATTAATTGGAGTTTCTTTTCCAATAATAACTTCTATATATTTACAATTGATCGTTTCATTGAATGCCACATGAAGCTTATAGAAAAAGCAACACTGGCACAGGACCCACTATTCCAGGGTGGTGATTAGGATGGTGAATATGGAAACTGGCTGCTGGCAGGACCAAAGGAAACTGCCAGAGTCTCTAAAGTAGATATTTTGACGACAGTAAAGTAAATATTGCTGAACACTTGTAATTGTTTTTAGGTAGTCCGTTTTGATCAATTCAGTGCATTTAACTGCTGCAGTAGATTAGAATGAATTGTAGTCCATTTACATGTTTGAAAGAAATTGTCTGGCAATGTCCATGATTGTTTGGTACTAGAATGTCTCCACTCTCCACGAGGTGATTGCTTCTCTTAGACAGGTAGACAGATTATCCACCTTACGCAAACACACCTACTGCAGTTATTCTGACATAGAACACTGACGAGGGCTGATGAAGTGAGTGCATGATTCCTGAAACATGTTGGCTTCCAGAACATAGCATTTCCCTTGCTAAGTGGTTCCTTCCACCAGATGCTCCATCACTGCAGAACATCTTAAAATGGTTGTAAACCCTTACACAAACCCAGTGATGTGACTGGCCTCAGGTGATACACAGAGATGAAAATGCTTCTACAAAATGTTTACCACCTGTTTATCTGCAATCATCTCTTGTCTACATCTGTTCAAAGTCCAGAATTTATAAAGATTGCCCGAGCTGTCAGAAAGATGAAATTACACACTGCAGAGCTCAGTGAGGTGAGCTCTGAGAGCTCCTTGTTGGGAAGGGATACACCCCTCTTCACACAGGAACAGAGCTGAGGCTGTCAATCACAGGCTATGTGCTGTAGATCCCTTCCCTGTCACCTTTTTATCTGTTAATATCAGGAAAACATGATAGAAGTGACTCATACTGATATCAGAGGAACGAAGCAGCAGACAGAAATGACACTTATGCCTGATACACACTATAATATTTTTTGCCAAATGCCGATTGCCAGAGGTTTTTTTTGGCATACCTGTTCTACAAAAGCCAGATGTTCAGGCAGCTTCTGTTGGACAGGCTGCTGTACACATGGGCCGAATGTTGGCCAGTTTCTGTTGAACTGTGTGTACCAGACATCAGTGCTCTTAACTGAGACAAGTACACATTATAGAGAGCTTTGCTTTGTTCATATTTCATGTCTGAGGTTTACAACCACTTTACCTGCAACCTACAACAAAGGCTACTTTCACACTGAGGAGTTTTTGAAGCATTTTTGCATTTAAAAAAGCAGCTGAAAATCTAAAAAAAAAAATGCTTCCCTATGTTTGTCTATGTATGTTTTCACACTGGGGCGTTGCGCTTCTGTTGTGGTGCAAAAACTCCTGCTTGCAGCATCTTTGGAGCATGTTTGTTCAGTTAAAAAAAAAAAAAACACCCCAAAAATGCCTCTTCCCATTGAAATCAATGGAAAGCGCCTGAAAAGTGCCTGAAAAACGCCTCTGAGAAGTGTTTTTGGTGCAGTTTTCAAGTCACATGTCCTTAAAAAACTCAGCACCTGTGCGTCTTTGCTGTGTTTTTGTGGTGGATCAATGTGATCAATGTGAAAGTAGCCTTAAAATTAACTATTTTACATACTAGTGTTAAGTGTTATGATTAAGCTGTTTGATCCTATTTGTTTTTTAAAGGAAAATTGTGTGGAACAGCAAGAACTGAATATGCAACTTGGAAGACAGCTGGAGACACAGGAGTAAGTCTTGCATACTTGTACTTCATCAACATTCAGTTTCATACTATGAAAACAACCTGGAGCATAGCCTTTTGTAGGCAAATATGCTAATACCATCTGCTGTTATTTCTCTGTATGAGATAGACAAACCTGGTGGGGAAACACTGTAAATTATTTAATGTGCAGCAAATACATCATTGTCTGTCATATCATAGGCCCTGCTGACACTCATCTAATACTGGAATGGTCAAATAAAAATTAGTAAAGCCATTTATTTGTAATTGGTAGAAATGATAAAACGCCCAAAGATTGCAATTCTCTCAAACTGATGCTAAATATTTGTTTTGTAAATGTATGTATATCCACTCTTTACGGCTAACCTCATGCCTCCCACGTAACACATATGTGCTGCAGCAGAAAGGGTGGACTTTTATGCCCACATAGGACACTCATGCTTCCATAGATGGCTGAGGTTTCTGTGCTGAGAGTGCGATCAGTGACTGAGCTGTCATATAGAATCGCAGTGGTTACAGTGGTCATGTGATGGGGCAGTCTTTCCCACTCCACAGGCAAAAAGACCATGTAAAAGATATGCTGGAGCTGCATCTGCATTTGTCTCTTCATAGCTGCCTACAGTTAAACTCATCTTGTCTCCTTTTCCTTATTGTGGAGAACAGGTAAGCCACTTCCCCCAAACTAAAGGGGAATTCTTGTGGCATAAGCAATATTTAAGGGGGTTGTAAACCTTTTTTTAATTCAATAATACACGTTTATATTTACCTGCCCTGTACAATGTTATTGCACAGAGCGGCCCGATCCTCCTCTTCTGCCCCTGCCACTGTAGGCTCCTCTCCGTCGGCATTGTAGGCTCCTCCTCTTCCTATGGTGGCAAACATGCAGGTGCACTCCCAAGTACTGCTCTGTGTGTCTATAGACACACACACCATTGCTCACCTCCATCCCCCGTTCTCTGATCGTTTGATGTGATTGACAGAAACAATGCAAATACTGAGACTTTTTGTTACCTTAGTGCAGGGAATGCATTAAGGTAAAAAATGTTTTCCCATTAGAACCACTTTAACCATGCCCAGACATTATTACAAGGAGGCAGTTGAACACACCTATGTCTTTGCATGTACCAACTATTTCAATGTCAGTATTTCCATTGCTACTTCAGAATGGCTGTGGATTACACGTAGATGACAAATGCACTTAACTTGTAATTTAGTTTGCTAAAGTTCTGTGAATCATAAGCAATTGCCTTTCTGATACACCAATCCCACGCACTGTGTGTGTCAGCACGTCTGCTTGTGGTTTTCATCAGGGCCTGTGAAAGGGTGACAGTTGTCATCCACAACAGGAATTGTTTAAACCAGAACCTTCTTGGCAGGATCAACAGGTGGAATTTTAAAATGAAAATAATTTTTTATATTTGCAATATCATGTATAAGCTTATTTGAGATTTTAGTGATAGGGTCTTGAACTTCTTAAAGTAAAAGGCATGTGCTTATATCAACCCAGTGTTGCTTTTTATGTTCTTTCCAGGTAAATGTAATATTTATAAATGCCTGCATACAAATCATTACTTTTACTATTGCAATGAGTATACTGTAGTTTCTGATAAAAGTGCTGTATGTTAAAACTAATGCAGCCAGTGAGGATTCTACTGACATATTGCAATTAAGCATGTTCTTATTCTCAGCAATGTATCCCGCTCACTGCAGGAACTCTTAAACGAAACCAGTAAATCTGACAAAACGCCGAATATTCATTCATTTCTGATAAATCACATCAAAGTTGTGAACTAAGCATAAATCTAGATAAAATTGAGCTTTTGAGAATTGCAAATTTAATACAATTTAATTGCAGGATTTTCACATCCCATGAAAACTGCACTTTAGTAAATTGTGATCTTCATATTAAAGCACGCCAGGCTGAGAGTATGGGGATTTTATTATAAAGATGTCAGTTAGTTTGAAACATAAACATATTTTCTGTTCCAATATTAGTGCTTCCAGTGATCAATGGCAGGGCGAGTGGAGTACATTAGAATTTGTTTCTGATCAACAGAATGCAATTATTTACAAAAACTCAAAACAGAAAGCAAACTTGTAAGAGAAAGAGGAAGAGTTATAGCTTTCTTACAGCGCAGGTAATTTTAATATAGACGAGATTGGTCCAAGTCCTGCCGTTTGGACTGATAGATCATCTCGCAGAACTATCATTTCAATAATCTCAATGACAGTGCTGCACTGGATACTTGGTACACTATTATAAATTAAATTTACGGCAAATGTCATTGCTGAGAATATGGAGAGAAATCCGTCATTTGTGTTTGTGGAAGTTAAGATAGGGGAAAAAAATTTAAGATTCTGTGACAAAACATAACAAAAATGATGTATAGGTTGTGGCAATATTACCAGTTGTATGCAATTTCCTTTTTCCATTACAATTTCATTAATATACTGGAGTCACAACTGAGTATGCTATAGCGGCACAGCATGTTCTCAGAAGAAATAAGCACATACCTAGATGCCCAATGATAAGAGGAAATGGTAGGTTTGTTACTTGAAGCGGAAACGGATTCAGCTTTGTATGACAAATTTGCTTCGGCTCAGTGCTGAATGTGCGGATGGGAGCCATGTTTATCCAGGGCTATTCTTAAAGGATTGTGAAATACATTCTGTGAGAGGAGTGAGAGAAAGCACAGCAGGTATGCTGTAGAAGATGCTGCTGAAATGTTGCAGCTCTGATTAGAACACGGTTGAGTTAAACATGGATACACGGAATACACATCAATCAATAGAACTGAGATGTCTCCTCTAGAACTCATTACATGGCACAGAGTTAGATACATTATTACCACATTACTGATTTTAAAGTATTTGTCCACCTTCATTTGACCGCTCCTCTTTTGAGGCTGGGGTGGGTAGGCCCACCATAAAATAAACACAAAAGTATTTGATGCAAAATTGAAACAACTGAAATGCAAAGTTATTTTTGTTAGTTGATATATATTATACTAGTTGCAATAAATTTACTATGCAGATAGTTTCGCAAAGTTAATATAATTAAGTTGCTTATGCCGTTTGTGACTTCTTAGAGAGTGAGTAGCCTCTTTACACACAAATATAAACAGAAGAAATGCGCACATGCACATTGTGCATTTTTTACCCAAAAAGCAAAGTAAATCCTTGCAATTGACAATGCTAAGTATTTTGTTAATGTCTACCAAGCTATTACTGCCAAGAGAGAATACTTCCAATGGAGATGAAGGCCAGTGGAAAAATAATGCTCCTGTTGACCATTTTCAAGAATTAAGTTCTTTTGACAAAACTCATAATTTTCCTTCATTCATGGCCCTTGGCCATGTGGGGGATATAATTAGGCTTGTGTGTTCTGCCCAAGGACACTGCTGCACATGCATAGGTGCAACTTCCTAGGAAAGACTCCCAAGGGGAATTCATATAAGGAGGACTAACCACCTCATGTTTCAAGAAGCAATGGTTATACTTTGGGGTGCTTCCAGAATACAACCTTCCTCCTTTCACGAGGAATCTAATTTTTGCTGCCCTCACCCACAGAAGCTCAACGAACACTTTCCCCCTGTTAATCATTATGGTGTTAATCATAGTGTACAGCTTCTTTATCCATTAGCTTTTCAATCTTTTGCTCTCTCTTTCCTTCAGTCTGTGGTATCTCAATTTACCTAAACTTCTTTACAAAAAGTTGTAGTTCCCAGGGAAAAAACACTCAATTCCTCTCCGATACTACCATTTTCTTTTGTTTAGAAGGCGGGATCTTAATTCTCACTAAGTCATAATCAGCAGAAAATGTATTTCGTAAGAAGCTAGAAATCAAAGCTGGATATAGCTGAAAAGAAAATATCAAAATTATCAGCTCTGTCACCTCTAGGTACCTATACCGCCTTCCATACACAACAACACCTTGGCAGCATCTATGCTCTTGAAAGAAAAACTAGTCACATCTTGAAGGAGCCTATTCCTCACCATTTTTTTTTTTTTTTTTTTTTTTAACAATTTTTTATATATTAATCTGAATTTGCACAAGAAGCCTAATTTCTACATGATCTGGTAAATGACAGCTGAAATATAAAAAGATGAATCTGATGGCAGTGGGGAAGAAAGTACAGTTGTTAAGACTTTCAGTCTGATACTCTAAGACCTGGGCTGATCTCAAGGGAGGTGAATAGAAACTATTGTCTCTTAAAAACTAAACATACAGGCACATTGGGGAAAATTATTCACATTTTTATCATTGCAGGCACTTTCCTATTTTATGTGCATATTTACATATAAACAGACCATTGCTTGTCTTGTTTATAATGTACTGTATTTAACTTTTTTTTTATTTACCTGGATTTCTGTGTAAATGGCTCAAAAATGTGGTCTGATCTTCTAAGTCACAACTAATAGACCAACACAATCTGTGAAGACTAAAAAAAACACAAACAATCCTGCATTTTCTCTTTGTTGAACACATTAGGCTTGGAAAATAAGAGAAGCTGATTGGTTGCCATGCACAACTGCTCCAGTTTTGATAAATTACCCTCATTGGTAAATATGCACTGCTGGAAAAAGTATCCTGGTATGTAGTAGCTGGTAAAACCTCCTTTATATGAAATTACTACATCCAAACGTTTCCTGTATCTTTGACTTGTAGGAAGAATTCAAATTTTTTTCTGCCTGTGTCCCATTGGGTGGGGTCCTATATTGGTGACAACTGTTAAAATATGGGATTTAGCATCACTTTCTGTCCCCTTATGTATGCAGCAGGGTCACAGACAGCAATACAAACAGAGCAGGGGATTTGAAGGGGTCAGGAGGACTGAGAGTCACCTGCCTAATGAGCACACCCTGTCTGGTTGTGACAATTTCCACAGACGGCCATAAACAGTTCCTAACCCTTCCCCACTCTGTTCAAGACTTTGGGTTATATACTAGAGATATATATTTTAGAATGAACTGCTACCCTGACATTCCTATGTAAAAATACTTTAT